GCCCTGGCATCAGTTCTATCACAGCAAAGTGACCGCCTCAAAGCACAACCTGAATCCTGCCACTCAGGGGTTCAGACCCCTCCAATGGCCGCCCATCGGTGTTAGGCTAAAATCCGAACCCCCCAAAATGGCTCACAAGGGCCGGCATCGTGCTAATCCCTGCCTTCCTTGGCAACCTCCCCTCCCGTCACTTTCCCCTGCTCTGTGCTCCAGCCACCCTGGCCTCCCGTCCACTGCCCCAGTGGAAGCGGGCTCCCCATCTTCCGAGGGGCTGCACGCGTGCTCTTCTCAACGCCTGGACACCCACTCGGCACCCCAATCTCCTATCCAACTCCCACTCTCCGCAGACCTCAGCTGAAATTCTTCCCTGACGCCCTACCCTAGTCCAATCGATACCCCACTTGGCTTTTTGTTAACACTTTCCGTATCTCCGTTATAGCATTCGAGCATTCGATCGCCACTGTCATCGAACAAATCTATAATGAGTCATTGAATGTGTGAGCTGCCTGCAACCGTGTGAGTTTCCCAAGGGCAGGGCTAGCTCACGTTCAACAGAGGACTTACAGGTACCAGGCACTCTTTCAGGTGCACTACCTGGATCATCTCATTTCATCTCCTAACGACCCTGCAGGGTAGGTGCTACTGTCATCCCCATTCTGCAGAAAAGGTAGCTGAGAAGGCTGAAGCAACTGACCCATGGCCACACTGCTGCAAAGTGTCAGCTGCTGGAACATACTGCAACGGGCCAGCCACTGACTCAAGCTTCCCCAGGGGCTGCCTTAAGTTGATCCCAAGTTCACTCGAGGATCCCGCACAACACCCCCACGCAAACCAAGTCCTCACATCGCCCAAAGAGGGTTCATCAGGCTTGCATTCAAAGCCTTCACCCTGCATCGTCCAGGAGTGCATTTACAAGGATGCTGCTGTAAATACTGAACTCAAAACAGTGCCCTGATTCTTTGTAACTTCCTTCTCTTCTGCTGGTCTGGCATTAATTTATTCGAAAGAACTCTTTAATTCAAACCTGGTGAGCTCTTCATCAGCGTGTTTGACCCAGCCTCAAAAGTAGATCTCTGGTGGACGATGAAATTTGGAGACTGTAGCCCATAAGCAAAGGTAATGGAGGCAGATAGGGTGGTGGTTCAGGGCCCAGGCAGAGTCTGCAGACCAGGCTTGGGTTCAAATGCTGCCTTCAAGAACCATTAGCTCACAATTTTCCCTCTGTGGGCCTCAGTTTCCCCATTTGTAAAATGGGTTAATAAGAGTACCTACTTAATAACGTTCTTGAAAAGGCTGTGGTCTGGAACCTAGGCAGGGCACCCTTAAATATAATATAAAACAGAATCTCTGTGCAGGGACCTGTGTTTCATGGGACATTCTTAACCCCTGCTTGTGCCTGAAGAGGCATGTTTGCAGGCATCTGGTCTCCAGCCCATCTGGCAGCGGTCGTGCTGGGAGTTGGGCCAGAGGGCCTGATGGGGTGATATTGCGCAGGACTTCCAGATCCAAGGAGCTTGGATGGGCTTCAGGTAGGTCTGGAAAGCTCAGTCTCACCCAAGTCAGCTCCTAAGCCCCAGGCTTGGAGCCGTGATAGCTCGCCCCTCTTCCAAAACGTGATTTTGGTAAATGTCAAATCACCAAACCGTGATCCTTTCCTCATGTCACCCCTGCTCCAGAGAAAGCTGCCAAAGCATCCTTTTCCATCGGTTCTGGTTAGTGAGTTGTTGGGTTTTGTTTGTTTGTTTGTTTTCTTAAAGAAAGCCCATGGGGGACTGCCCTGGAGGTCCGGTGGTTAAGACTCCGTGCTTCCACTGCAGGGGGTGCAGGTTCGATCCCTGGCTGGGGAAGTAAGGTCCCGCATGCCACGAGCACAGCCCCAAAGAAAAAAAAAAAAAAAAAAAAAAAGGGTCCAGGCACCAGGCACTGGGCTTTGACAGGCGTCGTGTTGGCTGCTAGGGCTGTGAGGCCCAACAGGGCCACTCTAAAGATGGAGCCGTGGGCCTGCTGGAGCGAAACAGGGCCGGTTTATTAAGTCAACCCTGTGCTAAACACAGGACAAGCATGATTTCATGACATCTTCACACTGAGTCTATGAGGCAGGTCCAATCACGGGCCCGAACCTACAGATGACTTTTAGTGATGTTTAGAGTAACTTTTAGTGACGTTTGCTAAGTAACTCGCACCTAATCATAAACATTTGAAAATGACAAAGGTAGGATTCATCTTGCTTTTCTGACTCTGAAGACCACGGGCATAAGCACGAGGCTACATGGCCCCCTCCCCTTATGTCTGTTATCCCAAACCTTCACCTAGATGAGCAGCCTTCTCTTCACTTCCTCCCAGGACTCACTTTCTGGAGGGATACCTGCCACTTATTCCTTCATAGCTGTCACCCAGCTTACCAAGCACCAACTGCTCTAGGGAGCTTAGCATCATTTACAAAGGGAGAAACTGACACACACAGCAGGGCTAGGACACCTGCCTGAGGTCACACAGGGAGCTGGTGGCAGAGTTGAGACTCAGATCTGTTTCTCTGGTCCCACTGCCCGCATCAATGCCTTCGATTCTGCCTCGAAAAGCTGCCACCAGAAATTTCCTTCCTTAACCTCCCCTCTGGACTCAGATAACTTAGGAAAAATATCATCCATTTCTCATTTGGCAAAGGAAACGAGGTTGTGTCTCAGACCGCAGCCTAGTAGATTTAAAGAGGGGATGCACAGGAGAGAAAAATCTATTGTGATTGTGTTCTCTCCCTCTCCGCCTTTTTCGGTATTGATTTGATCTGGAAAGGAAAGAAGAGCTCAGAATCCACCGGGGAGAAACCCTGCACATGAACTAAAGGGCACATCCGATTCCAAGGAGGTTCCCTGGAAGCACACTCCCTGACGACTAGTGGCAACGTAAACTCAGATTTATACTTTTGGGGAAATACTCCCTCTTCAGCAGCTAAAAAGAATGAGGCCACTCTAAGTTCACAAAAAGGTATCTACGATGCATTCTAAAGTTTCAAAAAATGCAAACTGCAAAATAGATGCGGTATGATTTCAACTGTTAAAACTAAAAGCAAATCTCTTTGTATTTGTGGGCGTGTGCAAGTGTAAATAAATAAATGGGTCTGAACATTTCAAATCAGTTTTCCCCCAAGGAAGCCGGGGGGCGGGGGCAGTGGGGGGACGTGTCAAAGGAATCTTTACCTTTACTTGAATGGTTTGAATTTCTTACAAGCTCTTTGTAGTTTTGTATTGCTTACATTTAAGAAATAAATGCACGTGGTTATGTGTACTTATTTTTTCAAGGAAAAGAAGGAATAAGTACAGACAGTGGCCAGGACGGCAGGGCTGTCACACTCACCTTTCCTCTTGGTGCAGTGGTAAATTTGGCCGTGCTCCTGGGGCAGCGGGTACGGGTTGGGTGGGGGTAGGAGGTCCTGGGAAGGGCCAGACACACCATTCTCACACTGGTACTGGGACCCCAAGTTGGATGAGGCGGAGAGAGCTCGAGGCTCACTGCTGAAAGGACTGTGGTTGGAGGCCACTTTCTGTCTCACTGTGCTCCTGGGGACCACAGGATATTCTTTACTGAAAGAGAGAAGATGCAAAGTAACACTGATCAGTGGCCTGATAGAGATCTTCCCACTGGCTGAACCACAGGGTCAAAGACTCTACCAGAAAACTCACAGAATAAGAAACAAAGGGATCTTTGATGAATGAACAGATCCAGTTATACTCAAGTGCATCCAATGCATCCTATCCTATACGTACATATTTAGTCACCACCTTTTCATGTCTTATACATTAGGCAAGTAGATTTATGAATAGTTCTATACATATGCAGAAAGGTAAATGAGCACCCCCAGTTGAGACCCCTCTCAACAATCAATAAACACACATGGCAGTTGAAATATTTCAACCTATTCTAGATGTCTTTGAATTCCCTAATTCAAAAGCTAAAGAGCTGAGAGCTCACTGAGACTTAACTTCTGGGTCTCCATCTTTAAAATGGGGCTGTGGCCTTTGCCCAACATTAGTAAAGAATGGTAGCTGACCACCTGGGGTAGTCACGTAAGAACCTAGGTTACCCTAATCTGAATAGTTTGCTCCTTGTGCCTTAGACTTTCCTTTTGAGTTGCTGTACTTGTCGCCAATGACATAACACTTAACTTCTCCGTGCCTTGGTTTTCCCATCTGTAAAAAAGGGATAGTGAAAAACCCCAGGTTCAAAGGGTTATTGAGAGAGGAAATTAGTTAATACACGTGAAAGGCTTAAAACAGTGTTTGGCACAACAAACGGTAGCCATCAGCAGGACTGTCACAGTTTTGGAGGCAGAGTAGAGGGGCAGAGAGAGAGGGAAAGAAAAGGAGAAGAAAAAGGAGGACAAAGGAGATGGAGAAAAGAGCATGGAGACTAAGACCAGGCAGATCCAAATTCAGGTCCCATCTCCACCACTTACAGACTTCTGGACCACAACCTTTCTGAGCCTCAGTTTATGACGCCATAGGTACAGCGTCCTCCAAAGTGCTCAAAATCTGGTCCCTCACACTCATATGATCCGTCCTCCACATTCCCTTCCCTTCAGCTTTCAGACCATTTTTTTCCACATAAGAGTTTGGGAAATTCAACAGAAACCTCTCCTGGAAAGGAAGAAAGAGGTGCTCAGCATCACAAGAGTCCCAAAGGAAGTCAGGTGGGTGGGGGACGGATCAGAGTGAGAGTTTGCAAAGGAGCTGAGAGGAGGGACAGCTCAAAGATAATAGGTAGAATTGAGAGAAACATCCAGGGTGTGTATAAGAAGAGAACGGCCCGATCCATAATACTCCCACATGCACAAAGAGGAGGGGGCTGCCAACGTTTGGGATGGGGAAAGGAAATCTTGTTCAGGAGAGTAACTAGTACAGTGTGTAGGCTGATGGAAGGGTGATTTGCCCATCTTTTCTGGAAGGCAATATGATATCACTCTTTTTTTTTTTTTTGGCCACGCCACATGGCTTGTGGGATCTTAGTTCCCCGACCAGGGATTGAACCTGGGACCACGGTGGTGAAATCCCCGAGTCCTAACCACTGAACAACCAGGGAATTCCCGAGAGCATCCATTTTTCAAAATATACAGGGACTTCCCTGGTGGTCCAGTGGTTAAAACTCCATGCTGTCAATGCAGGGGGCACGGATTCCATCCCTGGTCAAGAAACTAAGATCCCTTTTGCCATAAGGCGTGGCCAAAACAATAATAATAATAAATAATAATAATAATATACAATAACATGGAGCAAGCAATCCCATTACGAAGGATTTTCCCAAGAAGCCATCAGGTCAGTACCCAAAGACCTAAGTATGAGGATTTTCTCTGCAGCACTGTCTGTAACAAGGGAAAAAAAACAGAAATAACCTAAATGTCCTCATTAATGGTAGCATCAACTTTGATAGAGCTAAACGATGGAATATTATGCAGCCTTGAAAAGGATGAGAAGGCTGGATATGCACAAATTCAGAAATCTGTGTGAGCTGAATTAAGTTAAAGAAGGTGGAAACAACATGGTCTAGATTATGAAATGAATCCCAGAGGTTCCCTCCAGAAGTTGGGGTTATGGGAGAATTTTTTTTTATTTATTTATTTTTGCGGTATGCGGGCCTCTCACTGTTGTGGCCTCTCCCATTGCGGAGCACAGGCTCGGGACGCGCAGGCTCAGCGGCCATGGCTCACGGGCCCAGCCGCTCCACGGCATGTGGGATCCTCCTGGACCGGGGCACGAACCCGTGTCCCCTGCATCGGCAGGCAGAGCCTCAACCACTGCGCCACCAGGGAAGCCCCGGGAGACTTTTTAGATCAACTTATTACTTTCTGGCTCTTTTTACAGTGAGCGCTTACGAAGTTTAGATGAATACTTCCATGTTGAAAACAATAATTACTATTACCGATTATTAACAGAATTAATATAGGAATTATTAATATAATAATTATTATTATAGTGTAGTGGGAAGACTAGTTTAGGAGGAATAACACAAATAAAGGAAGCGCGTACAGCCGCCCGGAGCGACGTGTGACCCTCCAGGCTCTCCATCCATCCTCCCCCCATCCCCACCCACCGCACCACCGTGCCTGGCAAAACGCAAAGGAAACAGAGCTGGAATTCCCAGGGGAGGACCTGCTTGGCTGGAAAGCAAAATGAAAATGAAGCTGAAGATACTCAAAGCTTCCCCCGCATGTCCCCCAAGACGGGTCCCTAGAAGTGAGAGGGGCAGAACAGGATTTGAGTCCGATCTCCGGTCATCTGTGGATCCAGCAAAGCTGCTAGCAATACCCCTCAGGAAATGTCCCTTCTTCACACAACCCACAGAAATGAGTTCTCCAATCCACCAAGTCTGTAGCACAGAGCTCAGCTAAAGGTCATAGAGTTGGCAGGTGACCTAGCTAAGCCTCAGTTTCCACATCTGCAAAATGGGAGAAATACAGAGATAGTTTGGAGAAACCACAGCAGTCAGCCCTGAGTCCTCCGGACACCTTCCCTTCCCTGATAACCCACTGGACTGTGATTTTTACTTGAGTATCTAAGAATCAGGGTATAGTGGGAAGAATAAAGGTGTTCGATTCTGGAAAATATATGTTCTATACCAGACGTACCATCTAACAGCTGTGTGATCTTGGACAGGACACAATCTCTCTGAGCGTCAGTCACCTCTCAAGATTGTTGAAATTACCCAACAATACACTCTAGAAAATGTCTGGCACATAGTAGAAACTATCGTGACTGCCGTTACAAAATGACTCGTGCTTTCAGCCCATAAAATTTCTCGGGAGGGAGCAGTGCCATAAGCCTGTCTGTCTCCTTAACTTGGAGATCTTAACTTTGGGGAAAAACTTAGGGGTGTAAACTTAGATTTTCAAAATGATGTCTTTGTTTTCACTAATCTTGAATTGGAATTTAGTATTTCTTTCTGTTTGGGTGTCAGCAACAAGCCACAGTTCAGTTAGCAGCCCTAGCGACTGTCATCAACAGAAACAAAATAGCTTCACATCCCGTTGCAGCTGTATGTGTCTCCAGGCACCATTTATGCTCATGAGGACTACAAAAATACAGTCGTTTTTGACCTGCCACTAGATCCTGTTACTTAAGACGTTCATAAAGTGCGCATATTACTATATCACCATTTAGAAAAGATTTTGACAACTATATTTTAATATAACTGGCTTCCTTGGCAATCGATGCATCTTATTTTACACATTTAATCAGATTATTCTAAGAAGTGATCCCTAAGCTTCTCCAGACTGCCAGAGAGGCCCATGGCCTGAAACAGAGTAAGAACGCCTCTCTAGAAGAAATACGTATCAGGAAATCTCGAACTTAGCTGTGATTTTTGCCATGAGCCAACTATTCTTTAACTTATTCCATTTTAAAAATGAATTCTTTATCTAAATATGTTTTGCCTCACTCTGAGTAGTAATATACATGAAATTAGGGGTTTGTGGTACTAGTTATATAGTTCCTCTAATGCAATTTAAAGTAAATACCTATTAAAATCAAAAGGTACACCTGAAATTATCTTACGTACGAAGAGCACTACACCTAGCACATTTTGAAGAATGCTGCATCCGCCCACTTCGTCCTCTCCATGACCCTATGAAGTGGGTACTGCTTTCGTCCCCATTTTACAAATTAGAAAACTGAGGCCCAGGCAGATTAAATAACTTGCCCAGGATCACAGAGCTACAAAGAGCCACCACCAGATTTCTAACCCAACGAATTACTTCTAGCCAATCTCCTACTGACTTCTTTCAATTTTAAAATATAATATGCGGGCTTCCCTGGTGGCGCAGTGGTTGAGAGTCCGCCTGCCGATGCAGGGGACACAGGTTCGTGCCCCGGTCCGGGAGGATCCCACATGCCGCGGAGCTGCTGGGCCCGTGAGCCATGGCCGCTGAGCCTGCGCGTCCAGAGCCCGTGCTCCGCGACGGGAGAGGCCACAGCAGTGAGAGGCCCGCGTACCGGTAAAAAAAACAAAACAAAACAAAAAACATAATATGCTTTTAGGGTGTGGGTGTTTGGGGCCCAAGACTCCTCTCTCACTTCTCCCATCCCTCAGTGGGGATGACCATCTCCACCCTGGGCCCCTGCCTTTGTCATCTGAAAGTACGTCAGAGTAACCAGGCAGGGGACAATGGAGTGTCTGCCAAGTTTCCATGAGGCTACAGACACCCTCACGACACCCAGGGGTCTCCTAGCCCAGCCTTCCCGTGGCCTGTGTCATCTCAGAACTAAAGCTGGAGCCATCCTGAGCAGCACCACTGCTCAGACTGTCCTTCTGGGGCCAGGAGGCTGAAAGGAATGAAATTAGCTTTACAGTTCTCCCTTGGCTGCTGAAGCTAAGTAATGGAAAGAGAAAAAAAAAAAAGAAGAGGAAGAAAAATGATAATAATAATAAAACGTAAAAGTTGTCAAATCTCACTGGCAATTCTATTTAGGTCTTGCTTAGTTCAAGTACTGGACTGTCAGAGATCCAACAGGAAGGGGGGAATCTCTTGTAGTTTGATATTCTTAATGGAGACCGTTATTTTTTTAATTAAAGAAAATAACTCTTAAAAAATGTTGGCTGAGGGAATTTACAAGAGAATGTATCAATGGACTCCGTGGAATTCTCCTTTCCAGCACTGCCAAATTGCAAAATTACTCTCTGGAAAGGCCAAATTCTGCTTTTGATTACTAACACTCACAGAAGTGGGAAAGGCATATTATCCCAATAACCACTTGTCCCTCCGTTTGCTCCTCTCTGAAGAACTTGAAACATCATTCCCACCATCAATCACGCACATCTTTCTTGATGCCTGAAATGCAACATCCCCAAATCCATCTGACGGGTGTCAAGATTGAGGCATGGAAGAGTAGAGTGACTTCTCAATCAGGATGGGGTTACAGAGGCAAAAAGGAGAAAATGGTACCAACAAAAAACACTGGCATCTTTTTTTTTTTTTTTTTTTTGGTCACAATGCTTTCGGGATCTCAGTTCCCTGACCAGGAATCGAACCCATGCCCTCGGCATTGAAAGCGCCGAGTGCTAACCACTGGACCGCCAGGGAATTCCCGGGATTGTTTTTCCTGGGCTCATCAATGGACCAATCAAAGGAACTCAGTGAGTAGCAACACAGCAAAAGCCTCTAAAGTCCCATGATGAGAAGATAAACTATTTTCCTCCACAGTTTGAGAGCATCATTGAAGAATCCAGGACACCAGAGGATTAAAGTGAAAGTTGAAAAGCCCTCGTGCGTCTGGGAAGAGGGCAGCAACTGGGGACTGTTTTTCCACCACCCTCATCCTCGTCTTCCTCTTCAACGTCCACGTTGTTCTCTCTGTGCGTCCTGATGTCCCAGCTACTGTACTGGTTGACTTACATGCTTTCCCTCATTTGATCCTGGCAAGAATCCCATTTCATCACTATGATTAGCTTTACTTTAGAGATAGAGAAAATGAGGCTCAGAAAGGTTAAGCAACTTGCTCCGGATCACCCAGCTAAGAAGAGGAAAAGCTGAGCCGCACTCCAGGTCAGGGCTATTCCAAAGCTCTTGCCAACTTATACTTGATGATGGGGAATTGCTGCCTTCCCATCACTGCTGGGATGACACAACCATTCTGTTACATAGAGTATCCTCCTCGGTGATGCCAGAGTTAGATACTGGCTACACCAGGCAACATCAACCTTTACCGGTCAAACTGTCAATCAATCCTGCTTTACCAAATGTCAAATCCCACTGCTCTCCGCTGTCTCCTGCAGACACAGACGCGCTCTGCCCAGTCTGGACACCAACCAGGGTCCTGAGTCCCTCAGCTCACTCTGGGTGTCAGGGCTGCAGACCAGCTTCTCCCCAGCTCCGCCTCCCTCCCATATTCTGTTCCACGTGAGGGGATGCAATGAATGACACCATTGTCGCTGGGTCTGGGTTGTAAAACGTTACAAGGGAATATTGAAATCCACGGCCAAACGGCGTCACAGCCTGCTAACGAACGGCCCCGAGAATGTTTTCCACTACAGCCGACTGAATTGGCCTTTTCACGGGAGCAGGTGGCAGAGGTTCTGGGGTGCTGGGA